TGGTAGGCGGTTTGATTTTTCTCTAACTTTGAGCAAAGATATCTCCACAACCATTTGACCAACATCGATAAAAAAAAATTTATTTGAATCCTATAGGTTTATAGAATTCAAATAAAAAAAATTTCATCAGTTTTGGTCAAATGTTTGTGAAGAAATCTTTGCTCAAAGTTAGAGAAAAGTCAAAAACAAGTGCAAGTGGCGAAATTTTTTCAACTTTTTAAGCAATGATTGAAATTGTCACCCGAATGATATCTTCATAACCACCTGATCAAAATCGATGAATTTTTTTTTTTTTGAATTCTATGGATCTATAGAATTCAAATTTAAAAGAATTTATCGATTTTGGTCAGGTGATTGTGGAGATATCTTCGCTCAAAATTAGAGAAAAATTAAAACACCTATCAAAATAAAAGCTGCGGCAAATTTTTCAAAACTTTGAGCGAAGATATCTCCACAACTACCTGACCAAAATCGTTGAAACCTTTTTTATTTAAATTCTATTAATATATACGATTCAAATAAAAAAATTTCATTGATTTTGGTTAGATGATTGTGGAAATATTTTTGTTCAAGTTTTGAAAAAATTTGCAGCTTCTATTTTGAGAGGTGTGAAGATGTTTTGATTTTTATCTAACTTTGAGCGAAGATATCTCCACAACCACCTGATCAAATCAATAATTTTTTTTTATTCGAATTCTATGGATTCGAAGAATTCAAATAAAAAAAAAAATTTAATCAATTTTAGTCAGCTAGTTGTCTGGCTATCTTTTGCAATGATCGACATGAAAAATGGGTGGGTAAAATCGGTCCCGGTTTATTCAATACTGTATTACTATTACAAAATTGGAAAATTTTTATAAGCCAACCAATTGAATATCCGCCAACCTGACTATGGACGCGTTTAACTTACTGTTCGCACCACAATCCGATGATGGAATAGAAATTGACTATCCAGACGATTCATCAGTTTCGGAAGATGAGGGCGTCGTCTTTGATGTACCATCGGTCCAAGCAGTTCCGTTAACTAGTTCTTATACTTATCATTCCCCATTACCCTCAGCTTTGGCAGTCAACAGGGGAGAACCTTGTATTTTAGGTGTAGACGAAGCTGGAAGAGGTCCCGTCCTTGGTAATGGTGATATTTATTAAACTAGCATTGATATAAAAGTATGTACAAGTAACGCGTAACTTTCCTTTAAATAGGACCAATGGTTTATAGTATTTGCTATTGCCCACACTCCAAATACGAACAAGTTTCTAAATTGGGATTCGTTGGTATATATTCACGTTATTAACGTTATTTCTCATTCCCCTATTCAGATAAAATACTTATGCTTTTTTCTTTTTTCAATAAACGAAAAGATTCAAAGACTCTTAAAGAAAGCCATCGAGAATCCCATTTTCGACTAATTCAATCACATCAAGAGAATATCGCGTGGAGTGTGCGTGTATTATCACCTCAAGATATTTCATGGAATATGCTAAAAATGTGAATATAATGATCAAAGAATCGGCTTATCAACACAAACTAATTCGACTATTTATATTTAAGGAATAAGTATAATCTGAACGCTCAGGCACATGATACTACAATCGAATTGATTCGGCAGGTGTTAGCTCAAGGGGTCAACGTGACTGAGGTTAGCGTTTGTGCTCGTAGTCTATACATGTCCTTCGGGAGTGCTGAAAATTATAGATATTATTTATAGGATTCTATAATATCCATAATTTCAGTGTCCCTTATTCTTATGTCTAATACATTTCCTAATACATTTCCTAATACATTTGTATTATCGTTTATCTTTTTATATAGATATATATTGATACGGTAGGGCCTCCCGAGTCATATAAAGCAAAACTTTCAAACATATTTCCTGGAATAGATATAATAGTAGAAAAAAAAGCAGATAGTAAGTATCCCATTGTGAGCGCTGCAAGCATTTGCGCTAAGGTCACACGTGATCAAATCTTGAAGCATTGGACATTTGTTGAAAAAGAATTAAAATCATCAAAAATATTTGGTTCTGGATACCCTTCAGGTTTGTTGTGAACGATTGGTGATTTCTCGTTGCGTGCAAGTCAATTATTGTAACCTGTTATTAAAAAAAAAAAAATAAAAAAATAAAAATAAAAAGATCCAAACACAAAGCGTTGGTTAACAAGTAATATGGATCCCGTGTTTGGATTTCCCCGAGTCATGCGTTTCAGCTGGGCAACTTGCGAAAACTTACTAAAGGACCGAGCGGTTCCTGTAATATGGTATCACTCTACTTAATTTTTTTTACTATCTTTTCATCAAAGACCTACTCATATGACTTGTATTTAGGCCCGAAGAAGCGCCTCAGGGATCTATAACTCGACTTTTTGAACAAGAAGAAAAGAAACAGGAAAAACCGCAATCAAGACTGTTTATGGATATGGGGTTAAAATGCGTGTCAGATTTTTAACTCGCATTTAATAATTCTGACTATTACAGTAACTTGTAATGAACACCGTCCTGAAAATCATCCTAAAAATTGTCTGTTGAATCAGTAAAACAAATAAAAACCTATAATCTTGATTGTATGTAGATATGACCTGCACTCACATTAGCTGGATATTTAAGTTAATCTTTGCCAAAAAATATCACTGTTACAGTAATATCGTCTCGTCATCTTCTAGACATGGGTGGAGGAAGAGATAGCATTGCGCATAAAACATCTTCAGATGCGCCACCAAGTGCATTACGTATCAAATGTGTAGCTGCATTTTCATCAACAAATGCAAATTCTTTATTTTGTTTTGAACCATTAACATTTAAATCTTTTTGTATGGCTGTGATTTCTTTGCCGTTTTTTCCATTTCGTCTTCCATCAATTAAAAGTCCAACAAGTTCTATAACTTCCGCATTTGATAATCTTTCCCATAGACCATCCGTTGCCAAAACCAAAAATTTATCGTCCGAACCGATCTTATGATGTGTAACCTCAGGCCTGGCTATGACATAAGGTGGAGTTTTATATCGTTCACCTCCGGGAACGTTACGTTTTTCATTAAAAAATTTAGAATAAATTACTTCCTGTAAAGCTTTATCCCACTTATATCTAATAATGGAAATTATATTAATTCGCTTTAATAGTAAAAATAATAATCATCACTGAATTCGTATCATATTTGCTCGAAATAACGCCCAGGGTGTAGTTTAAATTTTGGCCTGAATTAAGCTCAATTCAGCCAAAGTTGAGCTTAATTCGACCAAAATTTTAAACTACCCCCCTCAAACAAATATATGACTTACTTGGAATCGCCGAATGCTCGACTTGGCTCCAATCCACCAAAAACTCGTCCTTTTGAAATAATGTTACTTTCTCCTGGGTGCTCCTTCTCTAGTCTTTCTATTTCACGTTCGCTTCTACCTGTTTGGTCTTCGCTTAAAGGTATTGGT